CTCTGATCGCACATTATGGTGTTGATAAAGTAAACAAGGCGGGCCAAGTTTATAAAGCTCTTATCAATCCAGACAAAACCTGACATGAGTGGTGTTTATTAAAAACACTAGTGATGCAGCAAGCTTACCTATGTGACAATTTTACTTTTAATACTGTGGAAATTGATAAACACAAATCATAAGGCCACGGTGTCAAAATGTAATAACTTTGGCAAAGGCAGCTGTTGTTTTGCCTGTAAATACAGCCCAAAATCTCTGCCCAAAACAAGGTGAAAACGCCCCCCTGAAATCGATTAGAAGAGGCTTCTCTGAATCGTCTGCTCACCATCCTAGTAGAAGGTCCTCCTCTTGCGAAATTTGATGCCAGTGAAGCCTTCAAATTACAGCAAAGCAGAAAATCTAGACGTATTTTCCATGTTTCCCCTTCAGCTTTTTGTGTTTTGGCAATTATTACTACATTGGTTCATGAAACATATTGTACTTTGTATTGACAGGATTTCTCTGATTGTATGTTAATACATGTATGTGCAGAATAATATTAACATTAAATAAATAACAAATAATGAAATTATTACATGTATATTTGCAAAACTACATACATTTTAGAACACAAAATGAAGAACATAACAATTGGTAACAAGTGGGGAAAATAATGAAAAAATTACTGCCAATGTTTTATTAAAAATATTAGACATCCCCCCCTTGTTACAGAAAATTCCCCTCTATTTTAAACTGAAGGGATGACAATCCCCCTCATGAAGACAAAGGGTGTTATGTACGTCGGGAGCTTGGCGTTCCGGGGTGCGGCAAACAGGTCTATCTTTGGATCGTCCCACAGCCGAAACAGCCTGGAAGCTACACACTGGACTATCAGCCACTCCCTGTTCTGGAGAGGAGCCGCCTTGAAAGGTTGACTGCCAGACTGTTCCTCACACCTGGAAGGTGGTGTTCCAGACACCAAAGAAGAATTTGCTCCGCTAGGACTGACAACGATAAGGAACGCACCCCCCTCCTTGTTGAAGGAAATCACCGCTGTGTTGCCTGTGCGGAGCAGGACTCTGTGGTCTCGAACTACGGGTAGAAAGCGTGGTAGTGCTAAGTACACTGCTTTCAGTTCGAGCTGGTTGATATGGTGATCCCAAAACTAATGCAGGGGCCATATACCTTGTGCTTGTTCGTCCAATAGATGCGCTCCCCAACCTTGGAGAGAGGCATCTGTTACCAGAGTCATAGCTGCGGCGAGTAGGTCCAAGGAGACCCTCTGCCCGAGGTTGGCCAGTGACAACCACCAGGGCAGGGCTTCCTTCACTTGGGCAGAGATCAATACCCGTCTGTCTAGTTCCCGCAGGAGAGCTTGGTGTTGTAGTAACAAGCGTTGTCCTGGGTGCCTGTGTAATGCGGCCTGGGAAACTACCCTTCAAGGTCATCATTCCGATGATCCGCATTAGTTCTCGCATTAGCACCAAGCAACACGCTTGCAATAGCTATACCAAGCCTACCTGTGTGTCAAACTCCATGCCCAGGAACACAACTGTTAGGTAGGGATGGGAGCCCAACTGGTGAAGTAAATCCTGTGTTAGCCTTACTTGCTCGGCTAATAACCTCTTGTTAGAGTTATGTAATAACAAGTCGTCTAGGTACGAATTGATGTGTACTGACGTTTGGTGAAGCAGCAGCACTACCTGTTCCATTCATTTTGGTGGAATGTAGGGGGCTGTGCAATACTCAAAGGCAATACTTGGCTCAGCTGGGCGACTTGAAGGACATGGCAACTCGCCGGGTGCATCGGTATGTGCAAGTAGGCCCCACTTAAGTCTAGTGGGGCTAGCCAGTCGAAGCGGTGGATGGAGAGAAGAGCGCTTAATGGCGTCTCCATGCGGAACCGATCGAGGAGCACGTACTGATTCAGTCTGCCTAGGTCCAGAACTGGACGCCCGCCACAGTAGATATGGTACTTTGAACACATTTGAGTAGAAGCCTGGACTTAATGCCCACTGATCTACCTTGTGTATAGCGCCCTTTTCCAGCAAACTGTCTACTTCCTGTCAGATTGCTTCTGTAACCGTATGTCACCACCTGGAAAGTCCAGGGATCGGTCACCCACTACCTCCAAACCGGACTACCCTGGCGCAATCTGTGTGCTACAAGGATATGTGACCATGGGTTCGGCAGTTGCGAGGTGTAGGTGCTCTCTTTTTATATGAGGTAAGTTTCCCAAGGCCTGCGGTAGTCACTAAGTTGTGACCTGGCCACCCGCTGAACACATGCCTGTCCCCCCGGTCGCAGAGGTAAGTATCAAACATGCTTCCCTCGGGGTGGACAACCGCCCGAGGAGGATGAGGAGCCACCACCTGGTTCCTTCTTCCCTGGGGGTGCGCCGCTACTCTTCCCTCCCGTGGAAGGGTATGATCGCTTGCTGACTCTGGCCAGCAGATGTCGCCTTAGGGAGCTGTGTTTTCTGTGCTTGGGGCGCCCTCCGTTTACCCTTGGCAGCGGCCAACTGGCTAGCGGATTTGATCTGAACCATCTAGTTTGTTGCACTCCGAAGCTCCGAGACTTCAAACGCAATCTCCCCATGAAAAAGTGTGGAAGATGTCCAGTCTGCGTCACTGAGGTGGGGACATACCCCCCGACTCAGTTTGCCGGCAAAAACATGTGCGTCTAAGACCACGTCTCGTTGCACAGTAGTAGCCCCAGCCAGGAGAGCAAGGTGACACTGGGGGATGTCGCATGTAGCTGTGTGGTGCCCCACCAGTAAATGTGTCGCCTGGTCTAGGAGGCTGGTGCGTTCTGCCTCTGAGGTCTCAGAGTTATGGGTGTGCACAATAATGCACTCAAGCAACTCTGCCCTCATGGCGTGATGGATCGTCTCAGACTGAGCTGGCGAGAACGCCCATGGAATGCGGCCGTTCCCCTTTACCCGGTTTGCCAAACGGAAATTCATGGTACTGGGGTCTCGGGAAGGAGCCTTGGGATCCGATTGGGGGCGTTATGGTCTCATCCCACACTTTGGGGTCTGATTCCGAAACCACACAGATCGGGTAGCGTTTGGTTCAGCGGAAAGTGTTGCATAAGATTTACCCCACCCGGGGGCCTTAAGCGTTACCTCCTCCGCAGCTGACCCACGTCCGCCCATCAACACTGTCTGCGTACACTGCGCCCCACTTAGCACTCAGCCAGACAGGGGGAGACGTGCCGACGGGGTTGCTTTGGATCCCGACGCCTGTGATCCCATAAGCGTTGAAGCAACAGTAAGTGATTGCCTTAGCATTTGCATGGCTCTGGAAAACATCCCAGGCCTCAGAACTCCAGTGAAAAACACACACCCTCAAGGCAAAAAACCTTGAACCCTGCATGCAGTCATGGCAAAAATAGCATTCGATGTGGGTTCTATGCTGGTAAATTCTGATTATAACCACTGCACAGTCGCCTCGAAAAATGAAGAGACAAAACCGGCGGCGAGCTTCTGGTGCTGCCATTACATCTATCTATTTCAAAATTGATTGATAAAGCATAAAATGAACACGACATGCATGAGGGAAGCGAAATACAGTTGGAAACGCAACAAAACCAACAATTTTTATCACCAGCAAACACCATTTTTTATCACCAGCATAAATGTGTAATTATTTTTTTTAAGTAACGCACCGTAGAATGCAGATACGGGCATGAAAAACACACTTTTGAAAAGCTTGAAGTCTTGCGATTTCAAAAATATATACTTTCCTGGGTCTATTTGTAGTCATTTGGTCACAATTAGAAGATGAAAACAAGTATGCAAATAATAGTCCCGCTACCTTAAGTTATGTTGCTGGGTTTTACTTTCTTTGTTGTGAAAAATGCTACACACAAAGGGAAAATCGACACAAGGGTAAAAATGACAAGGAAAACTTACCCTACCAGCTACAATGTCGATTACCGTGGCCACGGTAACAACCCAAGCCCAAAACCCGGACAGGAAAAGGCAGGCCTTCCAGGCAGAGCCGCTATATTTTCATCCCCGTAGGTGTGGAGATAAAAATAGAAGTGATTGTCTGGCTATGATGGCGCTACCACATGGCCTTGGTCACGTGGTTCGTGACGTAAGGGAAAAGAATCTTGGGGTCATTGGGCTTCCCCTGACCTAGGTTCTATCTCTCTGTCATTGGCAGAATCGCTGATTAATGCCTACAGTTCAAAATAGTCATTTTGACTGACTGGAGTCTATGATGGGTAACTGAACGTAGTAAATTTGGCACAATCAATTGATTAAATAATTTCAAGCACAATTCTGGATTAATCATTTTATGGCTCAGAACAGATTGCCGAACTGAAAATACTTGCCTTGATAGCTTTATTTTTAAGCATTGACTGGTTAAGTTCAAATTTGCCATTTGGACTGAAAATAATTCCCAGATAACAAAATTCTTTAACAGCTGTAATAAGATGGTTATTCAACACAAAGTTATGTTTCTTTAAAAGAAGGTTGCTTTTAGTAAAAACCATAACTTTTGTTTTTTTCACATTAACATTGAGATACCAATTTGTACAATAAACCTGAAGCTTGCTTAAACAATTTTGTAAACCATCTGCTGTCTCTGACATAATGACTAAATCATAAATAAAACTATAAATATATATAGTTCAACAATTTTAACTTTTGACTTCCAGGACACGAGATCTCGCAGTGAATACATTTCACCACCGGGCATACTGTATTACATTATTTTTTACCAGTTAGACTGGAATTTACTAGTTTACTAGACTTTAACACACTTCAACCAGACATTATTGTAAACAAAACACGATTTACTAAACTTTAGTTACTGAGTTTAGCTGTAGTTCTGTCAGTATGTCTCAGTTTCGCGGTTTTGTTTTTTAGATCGTCGGCTACACGATTATTTATGAGACAATATCTCTAATTGCGATTTAAAAACTAGTACAGTGCACAGCCCCTCTATCATGGCAGAGGGACTGTGTACAGCGAAACCAAGACTGGTCGAGCTTAAACAATGACGTACCTCAGGTTCATCGTCCGAGCTTCCACAGTCGCCGAATTCAGTTACAGATTGCACCGTCTCACGGCCATGCGTTGGTGTTTGTGGAACCGACGGGGACAGGTCTTCCGGAATGTCGCTCAAAGATAATATTTGAGCGTCTGGGTGAAGTATATTTTGGGACGGAGGAGTGGAAATCACTTGAGCATCCGCCATTTTGTTATTTGGGAAATCCTCTTGGAAACGGATGCTGCATTATGGGAACTGTGATGTGCCCTCTATCGATGGATAACTGCATATCTTTCGTTGTCAGCAATGAAATCCCGGCAATGTGGTGAAAGTTGCATATCACTAAAACAGTGGCGGATTTGAAGAACCATCGTTACTCATAAAAATATGGCTCACAAGCACAGTCACTTGGGGGCTGAAAGTCAATAAATACTAATTGTAAAAAAAAAATCATCTGCTATATTTATATACGTATAGCGGATGATTTCTTTTTTGAAAATTAGTATTTATTGATTTTCAGCCCCCAAGTGCTCACAAGGCAGTGCTGCGATTTCTTTACAAGATAATATTCAACGAAACTTATACAGGTCCTAAAATTGTGTATATTGCAAAACAATTCAATCGAATTATCCTGTTTGGCGCTAATATTTTTTTGCAGGAATGAGTTCTACGCTTGATTGCATTCAAAATTGTTACATTTCAAATTCGCATACACACAAATTGATTTCTCGAAATGCATAATGATTAGGTTTTGTCACTGGTGAAAGTTATGGAAAACATTATGCGCAATTTTGAGCAATAATACTAAGACTGGAATATCAATTCTTCGTGAATATCGTTACTTGCTATGTACGTTAACGAATAAACCAGCGGTTACTTTCAACAGTTTGCTAGACTCTGGTCAAAAACGTGTCTCAAAAAACACTATTACATCAGTGATTATTTTTCAGCTGATAGCGATAGAATCAGTTAATTTAGAACTACCATTTTGGCTATCGGAAAGCAATTGGCACAATTTTACTGAAAACACTGAGTTTTTCATTGCTTGTGAATATTAATTTATTAGACGATCATTTCAACCAATCGTGACATGCCACTCCCCCTCCCAGATGTTCATTTCCGATAGTTGCACGTTCGTGTTTATTTCAAATTGTGGTCTAATTAAAACATAGCGATTTTCTTACGTTCTACGCAAGGCGCCTTTTGGTGTTTTCACGTCGTACAGAAAAGATCTGTGTGGTCAAAATACTAAACTATAAATAATATAGCGTATTAGTAATGTCGTGTGAAATTGGGTGACTTTCAGGGAATAAAGGATGAAGGTTATTTGTGCGATTATGACACTCGCACGTTTCATAGCGTATAGTTTCGTTTCGAAATCTATCTGTAATTAATCGCTTTAGTATTGGTCAGTAGTATGTAGACATCTTTTAATCCACTGTTAAATAAAAATGACTACTTAGCAGCAATTTAAAAAAAATCAATGAAAAAAACACACAATTCGTCATTAAAAAGTCACTGTACGTTATGCCATTCTTTTGTAATACTAGGCATCGACATTTACATTTTGAAACACTATCTATCATTTTTTTCATCGTGTGTCGCCGACCAAAATTTTGAGATGTGTCCTTGCCATGGGTTGTGACAATACTAACATACTATAAAAACTGACAAAACATGCTATTTTCACCTCATTTTGTAGATCTATTATCTCTGAGCCGAGTACGGTGACCCCATATTTTTATTCATTTTCTTCATTTTTGTAAACATGAAATATTTTTTTTTACCCTTTTACCCAGTACGAAATGGTTATTCGGAGAAAAAGCTGTCTGCAAAATTGCAACTATTTAGTGTCAAAGATTTATTTTACGATGATATTTGTTATAAAAAGAATTCTTCAGGATTACCCATCTTATGAGTACATAGTATTCACCATGTATATCCGAACATACGTTATATAGATATGACAACTATTTTTACAATGATAGTAACCTATGGTAAATGCCACAAACGTGGGCGAAAAATAGTTCGATGGCCATACTTTCTGGATGTGAGCAACAACATAAAATGAAGTCACGTGGTAAAAATCTGGCGATAAGTTTTAATGGTACCCAACTGTTTGCATATAGCACATAGCAATGTGTAAAACGTTGTTTTGTGAGTGGAGTCCGAAAAGGTCAAAATATCTCGAAATTTAGGTCGGTGACGGGGGATAGTATTGTTGTTTATATGTCAATTATACTGTAGGACTCCTAGCTGATATCACGAAGACACATTCACCATTTTATGTAGCACACTCTAGCAAATATAAAGCTCATATCGTCGAAGATTTTAACATTGATGATTTTGAAGACTATATCTTGATCTATCTAGTAGTCATGACAACCTAACAAGTAAGCAATCTCATTAGAAGTGTTGGTTAAAACCATGTTTCGATGATCGATGATTTCAATTTTCAGATATTGATTGGTCGTGTTTGGCTACATTATACACACTACATGAGATGCATTTCTGCCGCAATGTATCGATTTTTCTACGCGTCGATCAAATATTATTCATCTTGTTTTCACAGGCGATGTCAAAATGATCAAAGATACTATATCTTTAATCCTGTCTCCGTTAGTGAATGGCGATGGTATTACCAGTAAGCATGTTGTGTATATTGTCTTTCAAAGTAACAACAGTCCAATAAATTTGACCCCTGTAGTTTGCAAGGCGGTGGCAGTCGGCCAGAAAAATGAATACTGAAAATATACACGGCACTTTTTTTTCACTGAAGCGGACATCCAGGTGGAATTGTATCACAGTAAGGTACTCACCATCACCATGGTGATTTTATATCTTAAGCCCACAATTTGGTTTGAGAAAAAAATAAAATTATAAAAATGTAGCACAGAATCATATATTGCATAGTTATTAGAACAGCTATAGAAATGGGCCTTCTTCATTATAACATTGAATTTCACTTCTGTCGGTCATTAGTAAAAATGTACCAACATTTTTATTTTTCATTAGAAATGGGTGAAAATCGATTATGTTTTAGAGAAAGTCACACCAATCGATTCTGCATTAAAATAATGTAATGAGTTACCTTTGTCATCTTTAGTGCATTTTAAGACTGAATTGGTCCAAATACAGAAAATATAACATTTTAGGTTTTTAAAATATATACAAAATGTATAGTTAATTTTATATTTATTGGCATTTGTTCAAGTTGTTGAAAGCATGTATCTATACAGGATTCTATCATATGTTGAGGTGGATGACCTCTGTGATTGGCATTTTTAGCCGAAATTGTGTTAAAAATTGAGAAATTGGTCAAAATTTACCAACTTTGTGACTTATTAAATTGCTAAATATTACTATTACAGTTATTGTGGCGTTCCCAATACAAGATTACATATCGCCTAAACACTAAGTTGCTGAAATTGCTCAGAATTTGCTTAATTTGGCATTTTGTGATAAAAAGGATGGAAATAAATTATTCGAACATATCAGAACTGTTTAAAAATAATTTATCTTTCAAAACAGCGGCTCTAATAATTTTTTGTAAGGATGAAAAATTGGTCTATGATCAAAATTAGCAAAATGTGGTATTTTCGGTATTTCAAAACATTACGACATAATGTCATGCGCCAACATATTTCAGATTAGGTCTTAATTAGGCATTTAATTAAAGTTAATTAATTAAACATTTGTACAGTTAGCATAAATATTTTTGGTTAAAACAAATGAACAGAATCGATCAAACGCTATTTTTTTTTAAAACCTTGACTTCTTTTGCTCGAAATATCTAGCTATTTCGAATAATTACTTAAGACAATGATTACCGAATATTGTTTATTATTACGTGAATAATTAATCACATGACGTGCCCAGTGACATCATTTAAAACAAGCGTTAATTTAAATAAGTGTGACATTGAGTGGTTGTTACAATACCCCAGGCGCTGGAGGTTGTAATGTTCCGC